CAAAACAGCTGGAGCGGGGCAGGGCCCGGCCGTGCACCCAGGATCGCATCAGGTCCTATCCCCAGCCGCGCCCCGCGTGCAGGAGTTAACGTCCAGGATTCAGCCATCGCCTTGTGAAGCATCCCCGTCAAGGTGCTACATGTCAGAATTCATAAACTGTACCCAAAAAGTCAAGCACCACCTATCAGATCTGAGTTATCAGGTGCCTAGAGACAAGGTATGGCAAATATTAGGAATTCACTTCAGAACCCGAGCATGAGAAACGATCAGTTATGCCCTGACACAGCGTAGCATGCACAAGGGAGTGGAGAGGTAGAGCTGGAGTCTTGGCAAGGCCAAAAAACCCTGGAAATTTAATATCTCTGTAACAGGGCAGAACATACAGTTCAAATAACATTTATTACAGGAAGCTATCATTTGGCTATAGGAGATCTAGTGAAACAGTCCTGTAGGCCAAGAGCCTAAGGAAGCATCTCAGGCTCATAGTTGCAGGTGCAAGACACTGTCCACAAGCTCTGATCACAGAGGTCAGTCCCTTGAAGGACTTAGACCCAAAGAGCTGCCAAAACCTGGGATGTTCTGCAGGGGCTGGGGGCTACGAGAGGCCTTTCTCTGCTCTTGCAAACAACTACCGTCAGCAGCCCCTCCACAACGGCCGCTCTAAAAGCTTTTGATGCAGATAAAGAAACTCTCCAGTGATATGTTACTCGGTATTAGTCAATATTTATTGCTCAACCTCTATTTTCTGAGCCACATATTTCAGAGCCAAATGCCAGAGACAAGGCAGTCAATGCAAGTCAGGAAAGCCTATACACATTATAATAGACTGGAGTCTCAGCTACTTAAGCAGGCAGCGCTCTGCCAGTTTGCACCAAGCTCCAGCTCTGACAGGCATTTGCAAATGCAATAGAAAAGGCCAAAAGCAGAGCTAGACCTCAGAGCAAGGACCAGCGGCTTCAGGAAGGTGGATATGGATCTTAGGAAGACCTTAATAATTCAGCCCCAGAAAGCTGCTGTTTGAAAAAGAAGTCAGCAGGACATCTAAGCATAGACATGCGGCAAGAATAAAACCTTAATTCTCATTTTGTCATGAAAAGCAGAAGGGAAAAGAGTATTTGTGAGGCAGGGGACATGAGGATCTGAGTCAGTAAAGGCTGTGGACTAGCTTAAATTCTAGCAGCATGTGGTGGTGTGCTCTGGGCTGGCCAGGGAGGCCACGAAGGGAGAGTGTGGAGGCTTCCCTCCTCTGGCTCTAGGGCAGGACCAGCAACTACATCAGAGACAGCTTGTAATTCTGATAAGTGGGGGTCTGAAAAATTGTAAAAAGGGGAAAGTACAGGGCAGAGGTTGCTGCAGCAAGCAGATATGTGGCAGGTGGGAGGCATTGAATGCCCCAGCTGCTGGGCAGGGCAGCATCTGAAGACCCAAACCCACCACCTCTGGTGGGTTTAACCAGGGAGGGTGAAGGTGGTCATATCCTCAGCTTTCTGCCAGCCCTCCCTGAGGGACTCCCACCCTTGTGGCAGCGGTTGTGGAAGGGATCACCCATCCCTGCCATCCACAGCCCGGCACTGGAGCACCCAAGGAACAGGCTTGAGCGCTGTCCTGTTGCCCTCCGATGGAGAGGATAACCTCGGGCAGAGGGGAAGGACTCACAGCTCTTGCCAGTAATGCCTCGAGATACTGCAGGGGTACGTCTGTAGGAGCACTGCGAGATCAAAGGCAGATCAGGCAGGGGAAAGGATGGGTGGAGGGAAGCAGAGTGTTGGCAGAAAGTGATACCAAGTGGAACAGAAACTCAAATTCCTCACAGTCCAGGGCCGAGAGGCAGCAAGGGGGCCGGGGAGATGAGTTGAGAGAGCTGATAATCCTGGAAGGGGGAAGAAGCGTGGCTCCTATGTTTTCATAACCACTAAAGAGAAGAGTGCAAGGCACGTGAGAGTTACACAGGACTAAAACCAAAATTAAGGAGCCCCAGAGTAAGAAAGCAATCCTGATTATTCTCAGAGCATCCTTTATAATGCAGAGTATTACATTGCAGAGCAGGACATTGAACTGAGGTCCTCCCCACAGGTAAAGGCTTGCAAGACAGTACTGAAACATGAAAGTTAAACACACTGGAGGTATGGGGTGGGAAAGCGCTGCCCAGAGCCCCAGAGCTGGTGCTGCCAGGCAGCCACTGCCGAGCCTTGCCTGCAGCCTCCAGCTTCACATCCCTGTGCTGCGGAACACGACTGGTGCTTGCCTTCTCCAGGCTGCCATCGCCTTCCTCTGCCATACCGCCAGCACACTGTTCTTCCACCTTTTCATGCTCACTACTGTCACACATTTAGGGAGGGAACAGTTTTCTTTCACTTATTATTCCTTCTTGTTTATAGACAGAACAGAGTTATAAAAAGGAGGCGGTGAGAGTGGCTTTGTTGCAGTCTGAGAGCCACAGCGAGCTGGGCGGTGAAGACAAAGCTCCTACCCACCAAAAGCAATGAAGAGGCTGAATTACAGCCTTTGGCAAATATACCAGCCTGCCACGGCTGTGAACGTGCTGGCAAGCTGCTTTGTCTTACCTTCTCTGCCTTTGATACCGATGGCAGGCAGCACTGTGCTGCCTGCGCCTGCCGCGCGCCCCTACCCCAGCAGGCAGGGCCCCGCTCTCCAGGCAGCACATCTCTGACTGCCTCCTTTTTCAATCAGTCCGGTCATATTCTAGTTCTCACTTTTATCTTCACTATCAGAGTCCTAATGAAACAAAACTGTATCAATCTCTTCAAAGACACACTCAGCCTGATATTAAGTGTGCCTCTAGCTCTGCTTGGAGAGCCTGGCAGAAAGACTGATAACGCACAGAAGAATGTCCTTCTCCCCCCCAAGTGCAGAATATAAACTCATCTTGTTCTAACCATGGGAGTAACAGAAGGGCCAGTACTGGAAGCCCAATTAAGGGAAATTGCTGCTTAACACTTAGCGACTGGCTGTTAGCGTGACAAAAATCAGACACAACATTCTGCATTAATTAGTGCCCCTGTTGTTAGCCCTAGATACTTGCATTTCTAAATAAATACAGGTTATATTCATCTGAATTGCATTCCCATAAATGAAGCTGGACTCAAGCTCTGTGCCAAGGGAAGGAGAACCCTGTGAGCTGCTGTTTTCAGAGCAGGGGCAGCAGATGGGGAGCGCCGGCACCAGCTCTGCCCCCCATGCTACGTCCAGCCAGCACCATTTCATTTGATCCAATCTCTTTGCCCTTCCTGAAACCCTCAGGTTGAAACAACATCGGTTAATGTATGGCGCAAATGCCAACAGAAACACTTTGGTTTCCTCTAGTGGGAGAAGCCACTCGATTCAGCTCTGAGGAGCCTGGCACAGGATTTCTCAGCCTGTCTGCCCGGCAGCTCTGCCTGTCTCCCTTGCTGTGGCAGAAATGGCACTTGGGTGCCCAGAGTCGCCTTGCGTGTCCTAGATGATGTTTTTGTGCCATGGATGCAGAAGGAGAGCTCAGCAGCAGAGTGAAGGAGAGAGAGAAATAGGGGAGGAGGCGAAGGGAAGGTCACTGGTGAAGATGAGAACACCACCAGTGCCAGCTGAAGATGCTCAGGGGCTGTGGGCGGGAGGCTGGGCGTCCTTCCAGGTGAGCCTTCCTCTGGAGCACCGCACACCTCCTCCTCCTCCTCCTGCCAGTCCTGGGGAGTTAGCAGACCACTCCACATTTCATCCTTTAAATGAAGAGATTTACTGTGCAACTACTCCTTCTCCCCTGGCCTTCACACCTTCCCCCCCGCCTCATTCTCTCTGAAGAAATATATTGAAAATGTACCCTGGGGAACTTGCAGCAGCTGTGGAGCTGCATCATATGAATCCGCATGTGACACCATTTCGGATTGCATCCCTGTCACAGCGGGGCTGCCAGGCACACCGGCCAGCATGGGCATGCTGGACAGCAGCAGGGCTCCAGGGCTCCACACGGCTCTGGGGCTCCTCTCCGCTTAGTGCCAGCCTTGTGCTCGGGGTGAGGCTGGGGTTATTCTCCCCACCCTCAGCAGAGGGGCTGGGGAAAGTGATGAAAATATTGCAAATGGCAATATCGTGGTGGCAACTGGCGAGGAGCTAAGAATAACAGCAGACATTTGCACCAGAAACATCACTTGTGGTACGAAAGCTTTCTTGAGGATGCCAGCATGCACCGTGTCCTATGAACAGTCACACTGAACTCACCTGAACTCACCTGGATGCTTTTGCTGCAGAGCCAAGACAGCCTTTTTCCTTTCTTCTAAGCTCCAGTCTGGACTTTGTGAAGACTTCATGCCGTAGGCACTGCCAAGCAGCTTACAAACTAAGAGTTGACCTCAAGTGTTATTAGGGCTCCTGCTTCTTGCAGGGTTAAAAGCCCACCCAGCCAATGCTGGCTGCTCCAAACCCCAGGTGCTACATGAAGCCATCTGTCTTCCCGGCTTTAAGCTGTTTTCCGTCACAGGACACATCGCAGTGACTGAACTATCCATACCTTTCCCTGTGCTGGTGGGCTCCCAGATGAATCTCTCCTCTTCATGTACAGTCAGCACCAAAGGAGCTCAAGGTCATCCCTACTCATGTGCTCTTCAGGCCTTTCCCCAAAATCCTGAACTCACCTCTGCCTCTCCTCTTGCTCACATTCTTTTTCCCTGTGTTTATTCATGAAGCTAGAAAGTAGTGACAGGAAGATGTACTAAGCCGTTGAACAAGGGGAAGCGGAGTGAAAACAGGCCAAAATGGAGGGGACCCTGAAGAGCTAGCAGGGAGGAAGGACAAGAAATGAACCACCAGAGTGAAAAACAGTGAGCGGATCTGAGTGCGAACCCCACAGTGAGAAAAGCTGGCCCCGGCACCATGCCGGAGGAACAGGGTGAGCTGTGCCAGGAAAAAGGGATGTGGTAATAAACGCTAAGGACATGCTGACTGACAGGCACTGGCACCACCAAACATCCACCTGCGAAAAATTGTCCTCGCGGTCCTCTCTACTGGTTTGCAACTTGACAAGCCGGCGAGCTCAGCTGGCACTGCAGAGGTGCTGGGGAGAACTGGGGATGAGGAGTGGGTGTGGAGGGAGCGCAGACAGGCTGAGATGCACCCGAAGCCTGAGGAGCAGATGTCTGGCTGGTGGCAGGAGCCTTGCAGGGACCCCCCCTGTGCAGGACAGTGCTGTCAGGGTCCCTCTTCTCTGTGGAAAGAGGCCCTCTGCGTCCTTCTTGGCAATTCTGCAACAGCACTGATACTTTCATTCCCAAATCGTAATACCTTGCTCCAAAACCAGATCATTATTTCCAGCATGCCAAGCTCAGGATTTTTCCCTGCGCCCAGAAAACAGGTCTCCCCGTGGCCTACTCTATCCCTGACCATCCCGCGGGAACACTTGGATGAAAAATTTCTCACCGTGGCTGCTTGAGGTTTTTTCCTTTCTGATTTCAGTGACATAATTAGGAAAACATAAATGACGTGGCTTTTTCAGAAAGCATGCTCCTTCCCTCTTCGCTGGCACATCTGGAGCAGTCCTGCACACTGCGTTTGTGTCAGAGATTTACTTCATTTGTGTTGAAAGAAGGGGTTGTCAGAAGTCTGGAAATGGAAACGGTACCAGGGTCCTACCTTAATCCTTAAAACTACACAGCTGCCTCGGACTCCCTCAGCACAGGCTGCTTAAGAACGCAGTGGTATGCAATGACTTCCCACCGGCAACCAGCGAGGCTTGGCAGATAATATGTCAGGAGATACCCTCTGCTTGTAAAGCACGTTTCTTCCAGAAGATCCCCAAAGCCCAGTACAGAAAACAGTCAAAATGATTAATTCTTGTGATATTTGATTAAAAGACTTGTGTCATCTCAGCTGTGGTGCGGGTGACAATCCTGAATAGAAATGCACATGCCAGCTCTGAAGCAAGTGAAATAAATGGCAATTGATTCTCTATAAATTGTGGAACACGTAAGTCTGTCACCAGCCCCCATGGCTCTTATCACAATATTGAACTTCGCTGGACCAGTACCAAGAACAATCCTACAGCAGATTCCGAAAGCACAATAACCCGTTCATGAGCTCCTCGTTTCTTCCAGCTTGAACAATTAAGACTGGGATTCTTCAGGGGAATTTAATGGTGCTAAGCTCCCGTTTGCCACAGAAACACTCTTACATATTACCAAAGAGCAATGGTTACAAACCAGGTCTGGACGTGGCAGACATGGGAAGCAGAGCAAGTCATTGGTAAAAGCCGTGCAGCACCTACGGCCAGATGAGTCGGTGAGTTTGCACACCCAGCAGTAACACTCATGAAAGTATCCCCGTTGGAAAAATCACACTTACTTCAACAGATTATTCTCCCTCAGCAGAAGGCAATATGTTGTGGACAGAGTGCTGTACTGCAGGAGTCCAGTAGACCTCAATACACCAGACCTTCTCTTCTCCTGGCTTTCTCTTGCAGAGTGCCCTTACCAGAAAAGTGTTAGGAAGTACTAGCCATACCCCTGTGGAAGTCATCAGATACCATCTTGTGTGACCCCTTAAAGAATAGAGGAAAGGAACAGAAATGAACTGTATTTCTTAACCCAGCTTCACAAAGCATTCAATTATACAAAGCGCTCCCCTGCCCCGCACTGGATTCCTGCTCCAGTACATAAAATAATGTGCGAGACTTGTTCAGCATCCAAAATTAAAGCCATCAAATTCTACAGATGTTGGAAGTTCATTTATAATCATCCAGAAATGACAAGGAAAGAGCTGTAGGCAGCAATAAAGTACACCGGCATACAGTATTACTTCAGAACCAAGGAAAAATAAAAGTAATTGTTGATTTTAAAAGAAAGAAAACAGAGAAATAGGGCTAGGAATGACCTTAAAAGTTCATCAGGCCATTTTCCTTGTCCAGAGCCAGGATCATGTCTCCCTACAGTAGGTACTTGTCCCACATGCTCTTCACTGGCACCCGGCGCAGGGGCCCCACAGCTTCCCAGGGCAGCTCCTCCCAGCTCCTTACTTACCCTTTCTAGTTATAAACAGCAGCCCAAGTCTTCCTTGGTGCAGCCTAAGCTGCTTACTCCTTGTCCTACCTGCCAAGGACACATAACACATTTTTCTTCTTGCAACAGCCCTCTATATGTTTGAAGATCTGCACATTGCCTGTTCCCCTCCTTCCCCCTTAGGCTTCCCCAGGCTAAACTACCCCTGGTTTCTTCAGGCCTCCCTGGCGGGTCATGTTTTGGAGATCATTGTCCTTGTTCTCCTCCAGGCTCTTTCTGAACTGCAGCCTACACATAGGGACATCATGCTACACCTCAGGCCCTCCTCACGCTCGAGGGATTTGGGGAAGACTGGCATCACCAGGCAAGCCATGTTTGACCAGATAGGCCATGAGCGACCACGTTCAGCTCGTGAGCCACAGGACAGGCTCACGGACAACCTGCAACGTGCTTTCTGCAGGCTGCTCCCCCAGCAACTGCTCCCCAGCCATGTTCCTGTAGTGGGCTCTCCGGAGTGAATGAGCACATTTTTTTCTTTTCACCAATGAGTTTCATCCCATGTTTTTCCAGAAATCTACTTTTCACTTTCTGTACACTCCTACCTTGTGAAAGAAGCGATCGCATTTTAGCCAGAATCACCTCTTACTGCTTTTTCTGTTGTTCATCCATGCTGGAACCACTTCTTTTGGTGCTTTTAGCACTTTTTAAAAATTATTATTTAGAGGAATAACTGGTTTTGCTTAACTCCTTTTTACTTTAGGCTTCCTCCCTAAATTACCTACTAATTCTCATTTTACTCAAGACTTTTGTCTTTAGCTTGTTCTTCTCTGTGCTCCTCAGCAGTACAAACATTACCTTTTATCTTCACAATCTGTTTTGCTCCACTGGTTAGACTCAAACCTAGAATTTCTCAATTTCTTTTTTTTCTCAATTACTTTTTTTTTCATTTCTCAATTACTTTTTATTTATATAAAGAAGGTGGAAAAAATTATTTTCCATCTCATTCATATAGGTAGGAATATACACATACATGTATGAAAGTCATGGCAACAAACACTGGAATTTCTCGCCACTTTGCATCCTGCTCATCCTTTCCAGCAGATGTGCAGATGATTACAGCCCTCCACAACCATCATGCTCTGTGCTTTAGATGGCATTGCTAGCTGCTGAAAGGCAACCTGGCCCACCTGATTTTCCTGGTATGGCCACAGCACTCCTTCTCCCCCTTTTTGTCATCCCTGATAGAGCCAGTAACCCCCTGTGAAAGCAGTGAAGGGGCTCCCAACTCTGTCCTTTATATCTTCTTTGGTGTAATAGTCACAAATTGCACAGAGGTTAAGGTGTGCAGTGTTTCCTTCCGCACCAGTAACATTCAGTCTTCATTTTCGGTTCGGGCAATGATCTAGTCAATCTTCCCTACAGGAAGGAGCAGGTATGACCACCAAAGCAGTGGCTGCCCTCTCTTTGCAGAGCAGCATTTCCTCTCCCATTAATGATGTTGCTGGAAACCTCCAACTTCCCAGCTTTTTTCTTTAGAGGCCTCTACATCCATCCTATCTGGGTCTTTGGGATGATGGACCTGTCTCTATCTGACCCTTCCTTGACCAGCTCTTACAGTCTGTTTCTACATAAATTGCCCCAGCACTACTCTCCATGCTGGAGGATGTTCTCCTCACCCTCACCAGCAGAAAAATGTGAAATGTAGCACCCAGGCCAGGATTTGGGCTGAAGCATGGCACGGTTGCAGTGACCACAGGGACCATTCCCTCACGGCCGCATGTCAAGGAAGATCTCAGCTCCAGCAGCTCTGTGCTTTGTCATTTCTGCCTCACAGTCCATGTCCCAGCCCCAGCCATTAGCCATCTGAAACTCCCCCTTGTTGCCCCTATTCACTGCCAGGGCTGAGGGTTCACAGACCCTCTGCTAGCCTGGCTGTGTCCTGCTCTCTTATTCGGTTGCAAAAAGAGGGCAGAGATGCTACCTCTCCTTAAACTGTTGCAGCTGGAGGAGCAGCAGCAGATGGCTCTGGCTGGAGGGATTATGTGGCTGTGCTGGGATTCCCTATAAACTCATCTCAGTCAGACCAGTTTCCTCATGAACTGGAAAGACTAAAAGAGAAAGAGTCTTAAAGCAGATGAAGAGGAGGAGCACCGGAGCCACAATAAAACTCCTTCATCTGTTTCTGAACAAGGGTATTGCTTCTGGCTGCCAGCACAGCTTGCCTCCCAGCAACAGGAACTGGGTAACCACCAGTTCTGAGATCAGCTCTTTTCACTGCAAGACTGTCTTGTCAGAAAGGGAGCAGAGATTCACCTAGGTGA